CCGCTACACACTAGGCGGAGTCCTGTAGAGGGCCGGGCACCCATGGACAGCCCTCAACGTAAGGCAAGTGTCCAGTCTTCACGCTGGGATTTGTACGGAGATTAAATAGATATCACTAGGAATCAGAAAGGGATGGAGGTAAGTAGGCGCACTCACCTCTCAATACTGAATACGGAGAGATCATTATTACACAGACATGTTGAGGAATCAGAAGAGAACAGAGGTAAGTAGGCACACTCACCTCTCGGCACAACTATATCCGCCAGTTGCACAGTTGGCTCGATGTACTGCTCAAATGCTGGCTTCACAAACTTATTATACTGCTTAATGACCCCCACAATGTCACGCCCCCGCTCTGTGATATCCCGCTTCAGCCGACGGACTAGCCGAATGTCCGAGTCTGTGTCCACAAACACCTTCATGTCCAGGAGCTGAGGAGAGAAGAGGTGGACTGTGTGATCAAGGGCAAAAGAGGAGGTTGAATGAGACTTTAGTAATGAGAAAGGACGAGCATGCCGTCAATGGGAAGGGACAGGCCGAGGAAGGACGCCGGCAACGGGAAGGGAGGGGGCAGGCCGAGGAAGGACGCCGGCAACGGGAAGGGAGGGGGCAGGCCGAGGAAGGACGCCGGCAACGGGAAGGGAGGGGGCAGGCCGAGGAAGGACGCCGGCAACGGGAAGGGAGGGGGCAGGCCGAGGAAGGACGCCGGCAACGGGAAGGGAGGGGGCAGGCCGAGGAAGGACGCCGGCAACGGGAAGGGAGGGGGCAGGCCGAGGAAGGACGCCGGCAACGGGAAGGGAGGGGGCAGGCCGAGGAAGGACGCCGGCAACGGGAAGGGAGGGGGGCAGGCCGAGGAAGGACGCCGGCAACGGGAAGGGAGGGGGCAGGCCGAGGAAGGACGCCGGCAACGGGAAGGGAGGGGGCAGGCCGAGGAAGGACGCCGGCAACGGGAAGGGGGGGGCAGGCCGAGGAAGGACGCCGGCAGCGGGAAGGGAGGGGGCAGGCCGAGGAAGGACGCCGTCAGCGGGAAGGGAGGGGGCAGGCCGAGGAAAGGACGCCGTCAGCGGGAAAGGGGGGGGCAGGCCGAGGAAGGACGCCGGCAACGGGAAGGGAGGGGGCAGGCCGAGGAAGGACGCCGGCAACGGGAAGGGAGGGGGCAGGCCGAGGAAGGACGCCGGCAACGGGAAGGGGGGGGCAGGCCGAGGAAGGACGCCGGCAACGGGAAGGGAGGGGGCAGGCCGAGGAAGGACGCCGGCAACGGGAAGGGAGGGGGCAGGCCGAGGAAGGACGCCGGCAACGGGAAGGGAGGGGAGAGGCCGAGGACGGACGCCGTCAGCGGGAAGGGAGAGGCCGAGGACGGACGCCGTCAGCGGGAAGGGAGAGGCCGAGGACGCCGTCAGCGGGAAGGGAGAGGCCGAGGACGCCGTCAGCGGGAAGGGAGAGGCCGAGGACGCCGTCAGCGGGAAGGGAGAGGCCGAGGACGCCGTCAGCGGGAAGGGAGAGGCCGAGGACGCCGTCAGCGGGAAGGGAGAGGCCGAGGACGCCGTCAGCGGGAAGGGAGAGGCCGAGGACGCCGTCAGCGGGAAGGGAGAGGCCGAGGACGCCGTCAGCGGGAAGGGAGAGGCCGAGGACGCCGTCAGCGGGAAGGGAGAGGCCGAGGACGCCGTCAGCGGGAAGGGAGAGGCCGAGGACGCCGTCAGCGGGAAGGGAGAGGCCGAGGACGCCGTCAGCGGGAAGGGAGAGGCCGAGGACGCCGTCAGCGGGAAGGGAGAGGCCGAGGACGCCGTCAGCGGGAAGGGAGAGGCCGAGGACGCCGTCACCGGGAAGGGAGAGGCCGAGGACGCCGTCACCGGGAAGGGAGAGGCCGAGGACGCCGCCAGCGGGAAGGAGGGGATGCCGTCAGCGGGAAGGAGGGGATGCCGTCAGCGGGAAGGAGGGGATGCCGTCAGAGGGAAGGAGGGGATGCCGTCAGAGGGAAGGAGGGGATGCCGTCAGAGGGAAGGAGGGGATGCCGTCAGAGGGAAGGAGGGGATGCCGTCAGAGGGAAGGAGGGGATGCCGTCAGAGGGAAGGAGGGGGACGCCATCAGCGGGAGGGAGAGGAGAGACAGAGAATACGTCAAGTGAGGAGAGGTGAAAAATGCAATCACGGGGACAATGGTGTCAGAGGAAGGCAGATGGCGGGGGGGAGGGGTGGTGCCGGCGATTAGGCGGAGAATGTCGGGAAGAGAGGCGCAGCAAACATTCAGAGAGAAGTGTAGCAGACACTCACCTTCAAGAGCTCCTTATTGGCAAATGACAGGATGCCTTCAAATATGACAACATTGGCGCCATACACAGTTTTCTGTAAGAGACGAGTGAGAACAGAGATCTACCTCCACACACATATATGAGCAATTCCATGATTAAAACCCTCCGGCTCACCCAATCCTTCCTGCGGCTGTGAGTGGTGAAATCATAGACCGGCACCTTCACACTCTTCCCCTTCTTCAGCTTGCGCAGCACATTCACCAGAAGATCAAAGTCGAACGCATCGGGGTGATCGAAATTGTACTCGTTCCTGGCAGCCAATTCCTGCTCCTCCTTACTGAGGATCTGCAAAAGGCGAACAGAGAAACGCTAGTCTGCAGAATGAGGACTATATAGGAAAGACAAAATAGGGGACCCGGGATACAGAAATCTTAGGTCTTCGCAGCCCCCCAGGACCAATCTCAGCTGTGCACTCCTCCCAGCAAGGGTCCTGGGACCCCTCTCAGCTCTACAAACCCCCCCCCGGCAGATCTCTGCTTTACACTCACCCCAACCAGGTTCCTGGGATAAATCCCAGCTCTACACTTTCCCTAGTCTGGAGCTCAGGAACTCTCAACTCTATCCTCCCCAGGAGTCGGTTCCCTAGGACAGATCCCAGCTCTATTTCTCACCCCCCCCACCAGCAGGGTCCCCAGGGCATATCTTAGCTCCCCCCCAGCTGGAACCCTGGGACAGATCTCAGCTCCATGGTGCCCACTGCCAAGTCCCTGGGACAGATCTCAGCTCCATGGTGCCCCCTGCCAAGTCCCTGGGACAGATCTCAGCTCCATGGTGCCCCCTGCCAAGTCCCTGGGACAGATCTCAGCTCCATGGTGCCCCCTGCCAAGTCCCTGGGACAGATCTCAGCTCCTTGGTGCCCCCTGCCAAGTCCCTGGGACAGATCTCAGCTCCATGGTGCCCCCTGCCAAGTCCCTGGGACAGATCTCAGCTCCATGGTGCCCCCTGCCAAGTCCCTGGGACAGATCTCAGCTCCATGGTGCCCCCCCCAAGTCCCTGGGACAGATCTCAGCTCCATGGTGCCCCCCTGCCAAGTCCCTGGGACAGATCTCAGCTCCATGGTGCCCCCTGCCAAGTCCCTGAGACAGATCTCAGCCTTCCCACCAGTCAGCTCAGCTCTACACTCCACCACCGCCCTCCCCCGTGGATGGCATTGCGAATTCTAGGAATGATCCACTAAAGCAGACCTTATAGAAGGAGTCCATGGAGAGAAGGACCACCCAAGGAACATCCAGGGCTTCAATTATTTTATTGGCTACCGTAGTCTTCCCAGATGCACTGCCGCCGCACAGACCTGGAACAGGAAGAACAATGGGTAATGACATATGGAATGATGAGAGAATACTCTGAAGGACTGTCACATTATATACCAAGTGGTACAGAACAGAACATAGATTCTATTCACCAAGCTATTGTCATTTACAGTCCTTATAAATCTGCACCTTTGAAATAATCCCCTGTGATCCTGCCATTAAGGATTTTGTTCAGGCACTTGGTATTCTAAGGTAGCAAAGCTCTGTTCCCATCAACCAAAGGTGCTTCCCTAAGATGAACTGTATTTTTTAATTTTCCAGCAAAGCAGTTAGAATTAGCCTGGTAAACAAACGGAAAATGAGGCCTGGAGCTTAACCTGCTATATATAAAACACGTGCATTTTCTCTCATATTTCCCATGCCTTATAATATGCCTGCTGACCCGCCACGACTCACCGATAACAAAGGCCTCGTTGAAAGGTGTGCCTGACTCATTGTACCAGGGTGGGCGCCCGGCGGTGTAAATGGTCCTTTTGCTGGTGCGCAGTAATGGCGGTTCGGTCTTGCTCTGGCTGGTGGTTCGTTTTCGAGGAGACAGAGACGGTGTGAGGGGGAGACGGGTGAGCAAAGTGTCCAACGAGTCCTCCCCGCTGTCACTGCAAGGATAGGAGGAGAATGTGGTCAGTTTATGTACAGGGTTAACTGTGTGCTCTATTGGGCACGGGCCGTACACCCCTACACTACTATTAATGCCTCCCCCTGGAACCAAAACACTCCTACACTACCACTACCTCCTCCCCCTGGACCCAAAACACTCCTACACTACCACTACCTCCTCTCCCTGGACCAAACACACCCCTACACTACCACTACCTCCTCCCCCTGGACCAAATACACCCCTACACTACCCACTACCTCCTCCCCCTGGACCAAACACACCCCTACACTACCAACACCTCCTCCCCCTGGACCCAATACACACCTACATTACCACTACCTCCACCACCTGGACCCAAAACACCCCTACACTACCACTACCTCCTCCCCCTGGACCCAAAACACTCCTACACTACCACTACCTCCTCCCCCTGGACCCAAAACACTCCTACACTACCACTACCTCCTCCCCCTGGACCAAACACACCCCTACACTACCAACACCTCCTCCCCCTGGACCCAATACACACCTACATTACCAGTACCTCCTCCCCCTGGACCCAATACACCCCTACACTACCACTACCTCCTCCCCCTGGACCCAAAACACTCCTACACTACCACTACCTCCTCCCCCTGGACCAAACACACCCCTACACTACCAACACCTCCTCCCCCTGGACCCAATACACACCTACATTACCAGTACCTCCTCCCCCTGGACCCAAAACACCCCTACACTACCTCTGCCTCCTCCCTCTGGACCCAATACACCCCTACACTACCACTACCTCCTCCCCCTGGACCAAATACACCCCTACACTACCAATACCTCCTTTCATTGGACCCAATCACCCCTACACTACTACATCTCCCTGGACCCAGAACACCCCTACACTACCACTACCTCCTTCCCTGGACCCAAAACACCACCACACTATCAATACTGAGCCAGACACATCACAATATCCCCACACAACCAATACTGAGCTTCCTCTACATCCTCTATAACCCCTGTGCTACAAATACTGAGCCCCAAAACATCCCAACATCACCAAAAAGCACATACTGAACCCCAGAACATCCTCGCACAGCCAATGAGCCAATACAGCAATATGGAGCCCCAAAACATCCCAACACCCCCACATGGCCAATACTGAGCCCCAAAGCATCCCAACACCCCCACATGGCCAATACAGAGACCCAAAGCATCCCAACACCCCCACATGGCCAATACAGAACCTAAAAATATCCCAGGACCCTCATACAATCAATACCAAGCCCAAAAACATCCAAACACCACCACACGGCCAATAATGAGCCTCAAAATCTACTCATATCTCTGCATAGTGAATACTGAACCTCAAAACCTACTTCCACACAGTGAATACTGAGACCCACACCTCCCAACACCCCCACACAGCCAACACTGAGCCCCAAAATATCCAAAACACCACCACACTGCCAATACTGAACCCAAAAAAAATTCAAACACCTCCCACACAGCCAATAGTGAACCCTAAAACATCCAAACACCGCCAGTCAATGATCCTCAAAATCTAGCTGCACCCCCACAGTGAATACTGAGCCCCAAAAGCTACCTACACCCCCACACAACCAACACTGAGCCCAAAAACATCAAAACCACACCACCACACGGCCAATAATGAGCCTCAAAATCTAGCCACATCCCTACATAGTGAATACTGAGCCCCAAACCTTACCTACACTGCCACACAGTGAATACTGAGCCCCAAAACCGGACACCACCACATAACAACGAGCCTCAAAATCTAGCCAGACAACCACACAGTGAACACTGAGCCCCAAAACCTACCTATACTCCCACACAGTGAATATTGAGCCCTCATAAACTTCCAACACCCCCACATAGCCAACAGTGAACCCCAAAACATCCAAACACCACCACTAAGCCAATAATGAGCCTCAAAATCTACTCGCACCCCTACATAGCAAATACCGAGCCCCAAAACCTACCTATACCCCCACATAGTGAATACTGATCCCCATAATCTACCTATACCCCCACAGAGTGAATATTGATCCCGATAACCTCCCAATACCCCCACACAGCCAACACTGAACCCCAAAACATCCAAACACCACCACACAGCCAATAACGAGCCTCTAAATCTAGCCACACTACCACACAGTGAATACTGAGCCCCAAAACCTATCTACACTCCCACACAGCCAACACTGAGCACCAAAACATCCCAACACCCCCACACAACCAATGAGCCCCAACGCACACCCCTACAATGCAAATACTGAGCCCCGAAACCTACCCATACAGCCAATACCAAACACCAAAACATTCCAACACCTCCACACAGCAAATACCGATCCCCAAAAACATCCCAACACCTCCACACAGCCAATATCGATCCCCCAAACATCCTGATACCCCCACACAGCTAATACAGAGCCCCAAAACATCCCAAGATCCCCACACAGCCACAGCATCTCCCATCATACCTATACTGCCCTTACTATACATTTCAATGCTACTGAGCACCAAAACTTCCCAACTCCCCCAACACAGTCAATACTGGAGCCCCCAAACATTCTGAAAACCCAGCACTGCCCATCCTGAGCCTTCAAACATCCCTGGGGTCTCACAGTACCAATGCAGAGCCCCCAAACACCTCACATTGCCAATACTGAGCCCCCAAATACCCCACACAGCTAATATCGAACCTCAAAACATCCCAAAACCCCCCAACACAGTTCATAATCCCAATACCCCCAAAACTACAAACAGAGCTCCAAAACATTCCCACACAGCCAATACTGAGCCCCAAATACCCCACACAGCCAATAGTGAACCTCAAAACATCTCAACCCCCCCAAACTACAAACAGAGCTCCAACACATCCACACAAAGTCAATAATGAGCCCCAAACCTTCAAGACTTCAACAGCCAACAATGAGCCAAAACCACCCAACACCTCTTCACTACCACATCCTGAAAAATGTGACACCGCCATTAAGTCGCAGAATGTGCAAACGTAATACTAAGTCTAAACACACCTCTACACAAAGCTTTTACACTCAATACATCCCCCACTTCTATAATGTACCTGGAGGGGGGCAGGAAAGCAGACCGTGCAGATATGACGGCCCCATAGAAGCAGTCAGAGCCGGCCGGATTCATGCTGGAAGTAATGGAAGGCTTTGCAGCTCCCAACATAAACAAATCTCATAACACAGCTGCTCCGACTGCCAAACATAGGCAAAAGAGACATCTGCACCCAGAGATAAATATACCAGCTGATCCTCCGCCTGTCACTCCGAGACCTCGCCCTGCCTGACACCACCGAGCACATGGCTGACCTCGCTGACACCACAAAACCCATGCCTGACCCTGGTGACACCACAGAGCACAATCCTGACCCCGTTGACAGCCCAGAGCATAAACCTGAGCCCACTGACACCAGAAAACCAATGCTTGCCCCCGCTGACAGACCAGAGCACACCACTCCGGACCCCAAAGACACCTCCCAGAGCACACCACTCCTGACCCCAAAAACACGCCAGAGCACACCACTCCTGACCCCAAAAACACGCCAGAGCACACCACTCCTGACCCCAAAAACACGCCAGAGCACACCACTCCTGACCCCAAAAAACACGCCAGAGCACACCACTCCTGACCCCAAAAACACGCCAGAGCACACCACTCCTGACCCCAAAAAAACACGCCAGAGCACACCACTCCTGACCCCAAAAACACGCCAGAGCACACCACTCCTGACCCCAAAAACACGCCAGAGCACACCACTCCTGACCCCAAAGACACCTCCCAGAGCACACCACTCCTGACCCCAAAGACACCTCCCAGAGCACACCACTCCTGACCCCAAAGACACCTCCCAGAGCACACCACTCCTGACCCCAAAGACACCTCCCAGAGCACACCACTCCTGACCCCAAAGACACCTCCCAGAGCATACCACTCCTGACCCCAAAGACACCTCCACTCCTGACCCCAAAGACACCTCCCAGAGCACACCACTCCTGACCCCAAAAAACACGCCAGAGCATACCACTCCTGACCCCAAAAACACCTCTCAGAGCATAAACCTGACCCCATTGAAAGCAGAAATCCCATGCCCAACCCAGGTGACATCATAGAGCACAATCCTGACCCCACTGACACCATAAAACACATTCTTGACCCTGGTAACACACCAGAGCACACTCCTGACACCTGAGAGCACAATTCTGATCCCCACAGGACAATCCTGACACTGAAAAGCCCATGGCTAACC